CAAGTCCCGCCACCGTGCCAGCCCAGCCCCTTAGGTGGCGGCTGTTCGAATGATAGTGGTTATGATGATGTTAATGGCAATGATGCTGGTGATGCAACGTTCGGCTCCTCTCCTCACTTTTTGCACGCTCTCTCTCACGTTCGGCTCCTCTCCTCACTTGTTGCGCTCTCGCTCTCATGTTCGGTTCTTCTCCTCACTTTTTGCGCTGTTTGCTCATACTTAGACCCGATTTGTCCCTCCCACACGATTTTGCACGTACGTTGCGCTATTCATCCCGTCCTGCGCATCCCGGCACGGCGTTGTAGGGGGGCGTTTTCTGCCCGATCCTTTGATAGAGAAAGGGCAAAAACGCCCCCCTACAACAGTTATTCCCTTGCTGGACATCGTTTTTCACTCGCACGTCCAACCTTTTTTACGTTGTTCAAATCGTTACATCGCTTGTCCGTGTCGGCCTCCCTCGTTGTTGCCGTCTTTCGTCGTCGTCGTCGTCGTCGCCTGCCTTTGTCGCTCTCGTCGTCGTCGCTTCTGGCGGTAGACAATGAAATCGCAATTCTGGCTATGATTTTCGATTCTGTCGAAGTGAAGGTTTCGCACGCACGTTACGCTATTCGTCGGGTCCTGTCTACCCTGGCGTTGCGTTGTAGGGGGGCGTTTTCTGCCCGATCCTTTGATAGAGAAAGGGCAAAAACGCTCCCCTACAACAGTTATTCCCTTGCTGGACAGATCGTTTTTCGCTCGCACGTCCCAGCGTTTTTAATGTTGCTGCAAATTGTTACATCACTCGTCCGTGTTGTCTTCTCTCGTTGTTGTCGTCCTTCGTCGTCGTCGTCGCCTTTGTCGCCGTCGTCGTCGTCGCTTCTCGGCGGCATACCATGAAATCGCAACTTTGGCTATGATTTTCGATTCTGTCGAAGTGAAGGTTTCGCATGCACGTTACGCTATTCGTCGGGTCCTGTCTACCCCGGCGTTGCGTTGTAGGGGGGCGTTGTCTGCCCGATCCTTTGATAGAGAAAGGGCAAAAACGCCCCCCTACAACAGTTATTCCCTTGCTGGACAGATCGGTTTTCACTCGCGCGTCCCAGCGTTTTTAATGTTGCTGCAAATTGCTACATCACTCGTCCGTGTTGTCTTCTCTCGTTGTTGTCGTCCTTCGTCGTCGTCGTCGCCTTTGCCGCCGTCATCGTCGTCGCTTCTCGGCGGCATACGATAGCAATTACCAGCATATGCAGTAGTAGTAAGCGCTTGTACTAAATAGTACTTCCACTAAGTACGACTACCAGCCCTACTACGCGTTACTACTAAGTACTACTACTATGTAGCAGTAATAACTGCAATGTGCTAGTACGTAGTACTACTAATACTATTGCAGTATCAATACGTTGTCTTATCATTCACACATTGCATATATTATTAATGTAGACCAACACATGTTAATAGGTTACTTTGTTCTGCATGTATTGCATATATAGCTGCTGCAGATAGGTTCGAGATTTGAAATCTGCAGTGGTACTTTGTCGTGCGCCATGGCATACGAATTTACTTACATTGGCAGCGTGGCCGCGATGGGACCCACGCCTAACCTGCCTCCTTCCATCGCCTGGAACAAACTGGGCCTGCGTCAACAAGATCGCATTGATAACGGCGAGGATTCGGGGAGTGCTGAACCTTTGGAGGCCTTATGGTTTAAGTTGCCTTGTCGCAATAACAATAAGTTTTAGCATGATCCCTCCCCCCGTGCCTTTGCCCAGAGGACAAGATATGGATTCCACATAACTTCCAGTGCGCCTGGAAGAAATGGACCTTCCAGCGTTACGACGGCTATCGGGAAACGGTATCTATACCATTGTATCGATGTTTCCCGTTGCTCGATCTAGGTTTAGAACGGATTTGCGTTCGTGCCTCCGCGGGTTGACCGAGAGGGCACGTTCGCGCTTCCTGGAACCAGGAGAGCACGGCCAACTCGGCGCAAGAGTATATCTGGCGTCTCCCTAGGGCACGTCATGATGTACAAGCCTGCCGATCACGCACTGGATTGGGTGGCAGTCCGCCATGCTCGCCATGTTCAAGCGACTGCCGCCCTCGTGATCTTCTGCCAGTACACGCACCAGCTGTTCGTGCGGATCACGGTCGAGCACCCGCAGAATGTGATTCAGGATCTCGACCAGTACATTTGCCATTACTCCACCACGATCTGGTCCGTTAAGGCGTACATTCGGCACGAGCTTGCCTTGCCAGATCATCGGCCCATCGAGTTGAAGATCAACCAGCAGGTGGTGAGCAATTGCCTGCAGGTGGCTCCTTGCTTCAACCTGAGTCGCAAGCGCCGCCGCTGAGCCGCCGTGGATCATCTTATAGGCCCTGTGCTTTTCGAGTCTGCATCGCGGTTTCGTTGCGCGCGCTGGTTGAAGCAGCACGCAGATATAAGCTGGATAGGTTCCGAGGACCTCGTATAGTTTGAAGCAGCAGTTAAGGAGTTGCGCTTTACATTAGACAAGAAAATGAACACGTGGATTGCACCGCATCGGTTGCACCACATAGATTCAACTCGCGATTTTGGAACAGACGTCGGCCCGCGCCGTTCGGCCCAGTCTTCTAGCCAAGGTGACCAGCCCAAAGGATTGCGCGGAGTTGTTTGGCCCTCTCATTTACCCCAGTTCTCTCCAGAGCTATTGTCTACATCCCAAGCATCCCAACTGTTTACTGTTCAGCTAGCTGTTCCTCTGCTCTCGCAGCGCGCGGCCCCCATGGCGTCGGCCGCAGAGCCTCCTCCTCCTGAGGGCGAGCGCATGCGCGCCGCCTCCGCGGCAGCGCCATCGCTTGGGCAGGCGCCAGAGAGGCCGAGAGGCCGCCAGCGGCTTCGGTAGCCTCGCGGACTCTGCCGCCCCGCTCACTCGCAGGATTGCTGAATATTATCAATAGACTTGCGTGGCTCAAGCAGGCCCGACGCCGCTTTCGCGCTCCATCCCAGGTTGCCCGACTCAGCTGCGGCCGCGATGTCGTCTCCGGTATTTGAGCACTCTGCCCATGAGACGCACACTGCCCTGCACCGCTGGAACGCGCCCAATGTGCAGAAGTGGATGACTAAGTGGCAGCACGGCAATATCTCGTCACAGGACCTGCTGATGCGGTTCGTCGCTGGACTCCCCAACGTGAAGCACCAGGAGGGCGATCAGCATGTCTTCAGAGAGCCAAAGGGCGGTTGGGTGGAACATATGGTGTTTGAAACGACCTTCCCCACGAAGGCAAGCTACAAGTCGCACTGGCACGGGACGACGTTCCACTGCCTCCCCAGCATTCTACAACATGGGCTTAAGAACTCGAGCGACACCCGCATCCACGAGTGCACGAACGTCGGCGCGCATGTGGCTGACACGCTCACGTGGGGCGGCGCCTTCTACCACGGCGTCGCCACGCGGTTCTCAGAGCACCCCGACTTCAGCATCCCGTACACCCGCATCGTTCTGAAGGTCGGATGCGATGGGCCCCCGAAGACCAGCCGTTCTTACGGGGATTGCTACCAGCTGATCTTCGACGAAAAGCAGATCGTCGTCGAAGAGATTCACTTGTTTCGTGGCTATGGCTTCGCAAACAAGGGTGATAAGTACTTTGAGTGCGTCGGCCCCCTGGCCAAGGCGCTGCCCGCGGCGGAGGCTTTCGGTCGGAGCTATTGCTGCGCTGACCGTGACGACACCATTTCTCCCCTGATCGTCCCCAAGGACAATTTCGTGCCAGGTGCGATGCCGTGCCGCCTGGCTTATCCATGCCGATGCTGCGCCAAAGTGTCGGGTAATAAGTGAGATAGGCCGGCGCCGCGGCGGCGGCCGGCCCTGCCGCGGCCGCGTGAGTGGCTGGGCCGCGCCCTGACTGCAGCAGCTGCGCGCGGCCGCGCGTGGAGCGCGCGGCGCGTCCCATGGGAGGGCGGGCTGACACGCGCAAGGGCTTGGATGGGAGCAGGAAATGAGGGGCGCGCGCTGGATTGCATCATTTAGAGGGGTGACACTTTGTAGCAGTTGCGCAGCGCGCGCGGATCCTGTGGTTCAGGGCTGTTCGCTGCGCCCGAGCACCTCGCTGCAGCAATGCTTGGAACGCCTTGCCGGTCATTGCCGCTGGAAAAAGAATCGTCTCTTTAATCTATCACCATCGACGTCCAGTGCTCTAATGCAGAGCTCCTGCACCACTCGTGAGATTTGAAAAAAGAACGGCCCATAGCGTCGCTCTCGGCCATGGGTCGCCACCAGGACTAGCGGGCGCATAGCGTTTGACAAATTGTTTGCATCGCATAGATTACATTACTCAAACTGCGCCATCCATGTATCACATAGGGTGCCGCGCACGTATATTGCACCACGTGGATTGCCTCGCATAGTTTATACTATGTAGATTCAACTCGCGATTTTGGCGAAGGCGTGGTGAAGGCATCGATTGCATTACTTAAACCGCGCCATCCATGCATCGCATAGGTTGCCGCGCACATATATTGCACGCGCGGATTGCGCCGCATAGATTGCACCGCATAGATCCAACGCTCGGCGCACTCCCTTCAATAGGAAGCAGATCATCCGTTAGACCGCCTTCCTCTCGCAGCTTTGACGCATGACCCAGAAGGTAACTTTACACATATTTCAGTTGTGGATATCTAAGAAGTAGCAACAGGCACATCTCCATCTCTATCATCATCGACGCCCAGAGCTCTAATGCACAGCTCCAGAGCCATTGTCTACAACCCGAGGCATCCCGACTCTTTGCCGTTTAGCTAGCTGCTCTCCCGCTCACGCAGCGCGCGGCCCCGATGGCGTCGGCCGCTGGGCATCCTCCTCCAGAGGGTGCGCGCATTCGCTCCGCCTCCGCGGCAGCCTCATCGCCTGGGCCGGCCCCCCCCGCGCTCTCTCAGTATTCGCGGGATCTCATGGGCAGCTTGGAGAGCGCGCGGGTGCCGAGCACGCAAGAAGCGGCAGTGCTGGCAGCTGCCGATGACGATATCCCGGCTGACTGCGGTCGAGATGATGTGCGGGCGGCCGTGGAGAGGCGCAAGAGGATCCACGGCGCCGAGCAGTCGGATACCATCTTCGCAGATATATTCCAGAAGGTCAACGCGAAGAAGGGCCGGCTCAGCCAGGTGCGCGCGACGTCCGTGGCCAAGAACACGGGGCTCGTCGCCGACACCGAGAAGTACACGCAGATCGTGGAGAGGGAGCGCCCTGACTGGAGCTCGGACCTCAAGCGCATCGGCGTCGCGGCCCTCTGCATGTATCGGTCGCGCTCAGTGGACGTGGGGACCGTGCAGCACGTGCAAATGATCTGGATCATACTGGGCGACCGCCTTCTCCGCGCCCACAACGGACGGGCTTACTTCTACGATCAACGTCTCGGTTACTTCGACGTCTTCGACGGCCTCCTCCCGCCAGAGCTGCTCTTCGCGGCGTCTCGCTTCATGCTGACTCTGGAAGGAATATTCAGGGATTTCCCGTGCGGCGTGGAGCGAGTGGATTCCGCCGTGATCACTGCCATCGACAGCGCTGTTGAGAACGCGGTTGCGAAGATCAACGGAGACATATCTTACGCAGTTAAGGAGGCGGCCGCGCTCGTCTCGATCCGCGACAACTGCGTGTTCAACAAGGGCAATGCGATCTTGCAGAAAGCAAAAGGCAAGGGCAAGGGGATTGCGGCGCAAGCGCCCGATGGCGAGGGCGAAGGCGAGGGGCGGGGGCGCGGTGCCGAGGACGCCGAAGGCGACGACCTCACCAGGGCCTCCGACGCGTGGCACATCGCAGTCGCCCAGACAATCAGTCAGGTATCGACCAAATTACAGACAGAACTTCTCAGCAGCAAAATCATGTCGTACTTTATTGAATGGTGCTCTCAGGACACCATGCGATCTGCTGGCGTCGCCTACGAAGACTGCATCGTGAAGTACGATGTGCTGGGTAATCCTGTGACATTTTCTTCTGAGCGATCACCTGAGAACTCGGTATACATTGGCATCCGCTCGCAGCTCCTGTCCACTGACCCCGTGCTCGACGCGGCGGTGGTCCGCGTGCAGAAGATATATTCACAGACGTTCTGGTCCATTCCAGATGCTTTCGTGTTCGGGCAGGCGGCCCAGGCGCTCGCGAAGAGAGGCTACAACGTTGACACTATCACAGTGCATTGGGGACCTGGCGGCGTCGGTTTGAGTCTGCTTACGAGCAATTTGGAGGCGATGTACGGCCACAAGAATCACAAATACTTTGATCCCAATGTATGTTTCGTCGATGACGAGTTACGCAAGGTGGTCGAGCTGCTGGTCGACGGCTTTATCTTCACAGGTCAAGAACGACCCAGCGGACAACGCGGAACGATGCGGGAGGATTGCGGCTCTGGCGTCAAACGCGCCGCGGCTGGTATATTGGTTACTCGCGCCCCGGCAGCCGAAGAGCGCGCCGCCCGCGTCGCGCTCTTCAGTGTCGGGGCGCGAGAGCCGCCGCCGCGTCGCCTTGGCGCCGAGCCGCCAGGACTTACTCGAGAAATTTGCCACAGCGGAGGGTGTTTCTGGAAGACTTCCGTATTCAATATTGACCAATATGTTTCGCATTGTGGGTTGGAAGAGACTCGAGGTCAACAAGTTCCTGGTGTTCGACGATATCACTGAGCAGAACGTGGAGTCGTTGATGCGCAGGCTTGCCGTGGTGAAGATACAGGCGCGGTTTTTCGATCGCATGTATGTTGAGCAGAACTTCGGCGACGCCGCGGCCGCCGGGATCTTCGCCCGCGACCCAGATGCGAAGGAGTTTCTCATGTCCTCCGTCGGCGTCGCCGCTGGGCATCGAGTGCAGTTCGCCTTCGAGGACGATAACGGCGCGGAGGCGTGTCGCGACATTATCGTTCGGTATGCCCGCTGCGGTGGCGATCGAGGAATTACGGAGAAGTCGCTGCGGCAGGCTTGCGGCCTCCTCGAGAAGACGTCGAACGTGGCTGGGTCCCTGCAGGCGGAGATCGACGCGCCCGACTCGCAGGAGCACGGGTGCAAAGCCCCCAAGGAGTGGTTAGATTTCAGCATGGCACTCATTCAAGAATATCAAAAGAAAAACATGGACTTCCTTACGCTTCCAGCTTTCAAGGCGATGACGCTGCCGACCAGTTGCAAGCTTCCTGCCCCTAAGCCGAAGGCCTTTCAGCGCCTGCAGACAGAGGGCCTATGGGTGGGCATCGGAACAGTGGGCAAGGCGGCCGATCGCATCGCGCCGCGCATACGCACCAAGAACGGCATGAGCGCGCTGATCGACGAGAGCTTGATGGGCGCGTGCAACTACCCAGAGGTTTACGACATGAAGTCCTTTCGGTCAGTATTCTTTGAGCACGGAGCTCGCAAAACTAACGCTATGGTTCTGGCGGATGCACTGGGCAAAGGCATTCGGCGCCCCGGCCGACAGGCTGCCGAGAAGGCTGCGCGCGAGGCGGCGTGGTCGGAGAGGGCTGAATCAGTTCGACGCATGGAGTCCTTCATCGATACTTTGGCGCGCAGGGACAAGCGCGTTCAGGAAATCAAGAGGAGGCGCGTTTCGGCCAAGGGCAGCGGCCCGAGCTCGCAGGGGGAGTCGGCTCATTTCGACGACGAGGTTCCGATTACGGTTTCCACGGGGTACCATCACAAGGTGGAGTGGCCGCCGCGACCTTAAATTTTGACCTTGGCTCGGTCGTAGATCCTGCATTTTGGACGGGCGGTGAATCGATCAGCATCGGGATCTCGATCTGCGGTCCATAGTGGATCTCGAGTCGTCTGAGTGATCGTGAGGAATTATGAGGAGGGGGAGGGAGGCGGGCCCAATGAGTAAAATTGGCGCACGCTCGGTGGATGCGGCTTCGCCTGAGGTCTCGCCTCTTCGTCGACGACTCTGTGGGCGCGCAGTCCATGGACCAGCGCTTGCAGAAGGTTTTGCTCACCAACACGTTCGATTTGGACATGGAGAACTTCTTGTTCTGCATCCTTCCGCAGATGTTGAAGCGGCTGAGCCTCCTGGACGAGAAGGTTTTCGCAGAAGAATTTGCAGTCCTTGATCGTCTCCAAAAGAATCGGCGCGAAGTTTGCGAGCAGGAACTCGGCGTGGGAATGTCTGTCGGCTAAAGGATTCTCTTGGAGGTCGCGTGCGGGGCATCCGCGCCCGCTGCTTTCAAGGGGAATGAGTTCCTTGCTGCCCTGTCCAGGGCGTCCAGGATGCTGAGGTGGCTGGCGGTTTCGCTGCTGCCTGACGTGCACCGCGCGATGCAACAGCAGGAGGGGGAATGGGCGGAGGCTTCTACATTTAGTTATCTATGGCAGGGCGTAGAGAACAACATATTGCAGCACGTCGTCACTTTCATCTGCGAGGAGCGCGTGAAGCACCTGTCCTTGCATTTCGACGGCGTGCGCGTGGACGTGGACCGCGTCGCCGCGACGGGGAGCTTGGGAGATTTCTGCTCGGGCTGCTCTGAGCGAGTTCACGCCGCCACCGGCTACGCCGTCACGTTGCGCAACAAGGAGCATTCCTATTTCTTCGACCTCCTGCGTGCGAAGAGCGCGGCAGTCGTTGATGAGGGCGGCCCGCACAGCAACGAAGACAACAAGCATCTGTTTCTACGGGGCAACTGCATACCCTGCGCGTTCGCAGCAGTGACTGATCAGTGGCAGAGCGTGCGAGAGAAGATTTTGGAGCAGCCGGTCGAGGATGTCAGGAAGTACCGCGACGTGGCAGAAGTGCTGGGCACGAGATTCTTTCCGCGGGCGAGCCTCCTGGACTGCCAGGAAGGGGGCTACCTTCTTCACGCGGAGAACGGCGGGCTTCCGCATTGCGTCGGCGCGCTGATCCAGGGCGGGAGCGTTGTGATCTGCGAGAAGGGCGCTGCTCGTAAGATGAGTGTTTTTGATTTCGAGGAATGCTACGCCAGCGCGCTCGACATGACGATGGTCGTGGCTTTCCGTCTGGGCGATAGCATTGATGCTGAGGAGAGCGCGCGGCTGGACGGGCTGCTGGATCTCCTGGCTGCTGGCCGATGGGAGGATGACGGGCCGACTCCGCCGTCGAGGAAGCGACGTCGCCTCGCCTCCAAGGCGGCAAAAGCAGCGCGCGGCAGCCCTGTGTCATCGTCTTCGCCGTCCCCGACACCTTCAGCGCGCTCCGCGACCCGTTCGAACATCAACTCCAGGCGCCACAATGAGAACCTCAATTTCTTCGAACTGCTGCACGCGAAGGGCTTGGCGGTAGACGATTACGACAGCGGCGCGCCGAGCAGTGCGGACGACCAGCTGTTTCGGCGCGGCAACTGCATACCCTGCGCGTTCGCAGCAGCGACTGGACAGTGGCAGAGCGTGCGAGAGAAGATTGTGGAGCAGCAGGCCGAGGATTTCAGGAAGTACCGCGACGTGGCAGAGCTGCTGGGCACGCGATTTTTCCCGCGGACCAGTCTCCAGGATTGCACTGAGGGGTGCTACCTTCTTCACGCGGAGAACGGCGGGCTTCCGCACTGCGTCGGCGCGGTGATCCAATGCGGGGAGGTCGTGATCTGCGAGAAAGGCAAGGCGCAGAAGATGAGCGTGTTCGTTTTCGCGGAGTGCTACGCCAGCGCGCTCGACATCAAGACGGTCGTGGCTTTCCGCCTGGATGATGGCATTGACGATGACGAGAGCGCGCAGTTGGACGGGCTGCTGGATCTACTGGCCGCTGGAGACGACGAGGGCAGCGAAGCCAGTTGCGACGAGGAGAGCTGTGACGAAGGCACTGTAGACGTACGCTCCGAGCTACTGCGGGCGCTGAAGGCGGAGGTGGACGCCGCGAAAGCGGCCGTGGGTCGCGGCCGCCAGTCGCGTTGCATTCTCTGCCCCTTCAAGGAGTTCGACATGAGCAGCCCCAAGGCGAAGCGGAACTTGCTGACGCACCTGTCGAATTATCATAACCCAGAGAAGAAGAGCCAACGAACTGGTACGAGGCAGATGGGCTGCGGTAACTACGTGGCGTCTGGCACGAAGCAGATGAAGATGGTCTCCGCGATGTTCAATTCCGACCGATGCCAGGGAAAAAGCCAGGGACGGCATCTCGAACGCAGTGCCCAGATGTTGCGACAGAGTGTGAAGCCTGCGCTGACCTGCCTCAGGATTGATCGCGACATCCGTATCCTGTTGGACGGCGCTGGCCCGACGTTCATCAACGCAGCCGCTGTCCAGTCCTGGCCGTTCGAGGGCCCGACGACGCTGGCGAGGCGTGTCGGGGATACGTACTACAGCCACGCATTCGCGGAGATTCTCTTCAAGGAGTTCATGCTGAACTACGGGCGCGTCTGCGCGCGATCAACTCATGCAGCAGTTGCTCGATCACGGCGAGTTCGTGCACGTGTCGATCGACGCCACCATCAGGGCGGCCATGCGCATCAAAGGGCAGGCGAATTACCGGGACTCTGCGGAGAAGAGAGCCGCCGCGCCATTTGACGACACGGTGGCCAAGAGGCGCATCCCCACGGTGCGCGGCCGCACGGCGGCCGTCGCAGGCATGCGGCCGATCGCGTCTGAGGCCGCGCGGAACATCAAGGATATGCTTCAGATGCGTCTTCCACAAGCAGCTCTCGATCAGTGCCGCTCGATCGCGACGGACGAACCTTCTGGTGAGTTGTACGGCCAGTTGCTAGAGATCTGCAAGAATCTGACGTGGCTCAGCTTGGACCCAGTGCACCTAGCCATCGTTTACAACTCGGCTCACTGGAAAAAAGCATACGCCGTAGGCTTAGTTGTTGCCCGATGCCGATCGTGCCACCTCCATGATCGTTGTCGTCGTTCGAAGATTCCGATCGTCGATCGTTGGCATCTGCGGTCGCCATGACCGCCCCAGTGAGACTGCGCCGAGGCCAGGGCAGACAGCGCTGCGCACGGTTCTGAACACATTCAACAAGATTGATTATCAGGCAACCTCGGACGCGTGGGGCCCAGCGTATACTGGCGGACAATTGCAACCTCTGACCCCAGACCAGAACAGAAGTCGGGACGCAGTGAAGAACGGCAGCATGCCCAGCCGAGAGGCGCAGCGCCTCCTGGACAACCTGAACGGGGAAGAGCCTTTTAAGAACACCGATGATTTCGTCAGAGCCATGGCGGCTATTACATCAGTGTACTGGGATGAGGCCACTTGTGCAGATGCTTTCCTCTCCCCGATCGCTCCCATTCGTTCGTCCGTTCGCCGTTTGTCAATGCCGCCGTCGGTCGCGTGATCGAGATCTGCATATCGATGATCTCGCTTCCTCAGGTGAACCGGGGCACGGCGAGCGGGCGGCTCTTGGTAGATGTGCTCTGGTCGGCTACGTCGGTGGAGCGGGCGCAGTTCTTGTTCAACAACACGCGGATGCGCCACTCCCTACCCAAGAAGTACCAATCGCTGATTGGTTCTGGCACGTCGCCGAACGAGGCGCTGCACGCCGAGGTCAACAAGTGGTTCCGCAACCAGCCCGAGCTCTACCTTGAGACGCTGGAACTGCAGCTGGCGGCGGCCACCCACGCCAAGCTGATCGCGCACAACGCCGCCATGTACGCGCCAGCTCTGAGAGCGCTCACCTCGCAGACTGTGCTCGCGACTGCGATGGGCCGCCAGCTCGCATCCCCTGACGAATGGCAGCGCTTCTGCGCGGCGCAGGCATCGGGTGTTGGCGCGCCTGCGAAGGCGTGCCTGCCCAAGAGCGCCCAGCGGAAGGCATCTCAGCCACTGGCCAAGCAGTGGGCAAAGGATCGTAAGAACTTTACGTCTATCGTTCGGAAGAGGCCGGCGGCAATGAAGGCTGCGCAGAAGAGGCCGGCGGCAATGAAGGGGGTCAAGCGCACTCCCTTCAATAGGAAGCGAGTCATCCGTTAGATCGCCTTCCGCTCGCAGCTTTGACGCATGACCCAGTAGGTACCTGTACAAGCATTTCAGTTGTGGATATCTAAGAAATAGCAACAGGCCCAGCTGTTTAATGCGGTTGCGAGGGTTGTCTAGTGTCAGGCAAACGTTCAGACCTCGTGCCGCTTCTGAGGCGCTTCTCACGCGACATCTGAGAGTTTTGATTAGCATTCATTCTTTAGATCTGACGGTGGAAAATATTTGCATGTCGAGTTAACTAGCCAAGGCGCTTCCCGCCCCGCTCGGTCAGGTCGGCCTTGCAGCTCAGTCGCCCAGTCTAATTGTTCAGCTCGCTCATGCCATTCGGCCAGCTCTCTCATGCCATTATCCCCAGAGCCAATTGACTACATCTCAAACTTTTCTGCGCGCGATCTTCAGATCCCACTGGCGCGCCCCCCCCCCGCGCCCATGGCGTCCGCCGATGAGCCTGCCACTGCGGCGCCGACCCACTCGCCGAGGCAGTCGCCCGTTCCGCCTGATCAAGTCTCGCGGGGCCTCATGGGCGCGCAGAACGTACTAGATAAATTTCGTATCGCAGCAGCTATATCTGAGAGATGCCCATATTCGGTATCACCAGATCAGTTACAGCAAGTGGGATGGAGGCGTCTTGAGGCGAACGAATCCTCGGCGCCCAACACCGAACGCCCTGACTGGATCTCATATATGAAGCGGATTAACGTCGCAGCCCTCTTCGGCACGGACAACGCGACCCTGCGGGAGATCATGATCACGGACGGGGAGGGCGACGGAGCGGGTGCCGGAGGACGACGCCGAGGGCGAAGGGGATTCTGACGGCGCTTTGAACTACACGGGTTGCGACGCGGAAGGTCAATCGACCTCCCCGCCATAGGAAGCGTTTTCATTGCGAGACTATGTACTTCCCTACTGCGTTCGGATACATCGTCTGAGTCAAAAGCATCAGCGCCAAGCGTATTCAGGGCATATCCCTTCCCGCCCCCTCAGGACCCCCCGCCCAGAACCCCCCCGCCCAGGTCCGCCCCCACCCAGGATCACCCCCCGCGCAGGGCCACCCGCGCAGACCCCCCTCCCAGAACCCTCTGTCGATCGGCAAACAAACATGTCTACATTATTTAAATTATTTAAATTATTTCTGACGGGGCGGTATTCAAATAATTTAAATAATTCAAATCGTGAGGGTCTGCCAGCCTGCTGAGCCGCGTCCCAACATATTTAAAAACTTTAAATAATTTAAATAATTTAAATAATTCTAATCAGCCCGAGCGATTAAAATTATTCAAATTATTTAAATTATTTAAATATGCTGGCAGGCGGCTCGGCAGACAAGCACGCCTACACTATTTAAATTATTTAAATTATTTAAATTATTTAAATTATTTAGATTATTAAAATTATTTAAATTATTTAAGTTGTTTAAAGTATTTAAATTATTCCTGGAATGCAGATTCTCGCGCATTAGGATTTCGACGGAATAAAATAATTCAAATAATTCCAATAATCTAAATAATTTGAATAATTCAAATCATTTAAACAATTGAAATAATTTAAATTATTTAAATTATTGAAATTATTTAAATTATTCAAAATAATCAAAGTATTTGAATTGTTTACATATTCCTGAAAATGCAAATTCTCGCGCCTTAGGATGTCGACGGAATTAAATAATTCGAATAATTAAAATAATTTAAATAATTTAGATAATTCAAATAATTTGAATATTTGATTTTAAAAAAAAAAATATTTAAATTATTCAAATTATTTAGATTATTTAAAGTATCTAAAGTATTTCAATTATTCAAATATTCCTGGAATGCAGATTCTCGCGCCTTCGGATTTCTACGGAATTGAATAATTCAAATAATTTAAATATTTTAAATAATTTAAATATTTTAAATAATTTGAATACTTTAAATTATCTAAACTTTTTGAATTATTCAAATTATTTAAATTATTTAAATTATTTAAATTATTTAAATTATTAAAATTATTTGAATTATTTAATTCCGTCGAAATGCTAATACGCGAGAATCTGCATTCCAGGAATAATTCAAATAATTTAAATAATTTAAATATTTTAAATAATTTAAATAATTTAAATAATTTAAATAATTAAAATAATTTAAACAATGTAATTGAAAACCTAATTACTCCATATTCTTGAAATGTTTCTATCAATTTAAATCAAATAAACGTATTTGGAAAGGTCAAAGGACGCATAGAGCATATTTGTCCTTCAATCATAAGTATTCTGCGTATTATTATTAATATTATTCTTATTATTGGTATTATTATTAGTATTAGTATTAGTATTATGATTACTATTATTATTAATATTATCAATATTATCAGTATTAGTATTCGTCTTCTTACTATTCTTATTATTCTTGTTCGTCTTCTTTTTCTTCTTCTTCTTATTCTTCTTATTCCTCCTCCTCCTCCTCCTCCTCCTCCGCCTCCTCCGCCTCCTCCTCCTCCTCCTCCTCCTCCTCCTCCTCCTCCTCCTCTCTCCTCCTCCTCCTCCTCCTCCTCCTCCTCCTCCTCTCCCTCCTCCTCCTCCTCCTCCTCCTCCTCCTCCCTCCTCTCCTCCCTCCTCCTCCTCCTCCTCCTCCTCCTCCTCCTCCTCCTCCTCCTCCTCCTCCTCCTCCTCCTCCGTTCCTCTTCCTCTTCCGTTTCCCCTCCTCCTCCTCCGTTTCCTCCTCCTACTCCTCCCCCTCCTCCTCCCTCCTCCTCCTCTCCTCCTCCTCCTCCTCCTCCTCCTCCTCCTCCTCCTCCTCCTCCTCCTTCTCCTCCTCCTCCTCCTTGTGCGCTGGCGGGTTGTGTCTTCCCGGGGTCTCCGCCCGGGGCCCGCCCGCTTCGTGCGCGGGCCGGGCTCCCCGCGTCTGCTCCTCCCGGGTGCCCTGGCCCCTGGCCGGCACTCCCAGACCCCCTCGCGCCGCGACAACAGTGACGACGGAAAGATTGTCGATCTGTTCGGCCCCTAGAAACCCCACACAGGGCCTCGGGGCCCTGCAAAACACGACTCCCGGGGCGAGAGACCGGTCCCGGATGCTGGCCGCCCGCCGTTTCGTGCTCTACCCTTACATCTGGCGTGTCCTTCTAAGGCGGATTTCTGACGACAAATATGTTTTACCACAAACAAACTGGCGAAGGACTCAACCATATTCAGCTGTAGGTACCGCGATCGCGTGTATAATCTTCGGTGGGGGTAATTATGGTGGGTGCGCGAAATGTGTGAGGGTGTCTCCCTCTGTGAGCCACGAGGCGGTGCCTGCTTCGCAGTACGCCATGCAGGGCTCCGCAGCTCCGCAGGTCGCCCCACCCAGGTGGAATTCCCTGTGGGGCCGCGAAACGCTGTCCTGGGTGGGGGGGGGGGGGGGGGCGCATGCGAACACCGTCAGGGTGGGGGGGGGCGCATGTGAATACCCTCATTCGAACCTTAGGTGGAGCTCGATGTGGGGCCACGAAACGCTGTCCCGGGTTGGGGAGACGCATGCGAACACCTCCACTGGGACCTTAGGTGGAGATCCCTGTGGGGCCACGAAACGCTGTGCTGAGCGGGGGAAACTCATGCGAACACCGCCACCGAGGAATTATGTGGAGCTCCCTGTGGGGCCACGAAACGCTGTCCTGGGCGGGGGGGACGCATGTGAATACCGCCAATGGAGCCGTAGGTGGAGCTCGATGTGGGGCCACGAAACGCTGTCCTGGGTTGGGGAGACGCATGCGAACACCGCCACTGGGAACCTTAGGTGGAGCTCGATGTGGGGCCACGAAACGCTGTGCTGGGCGGGGGAGATCCATGCGAACACCGCCACAGGGAGCCTTGGGTGGAACTCCCTGTGGGGCCACGAAACGCTGTCCTGGGTGGGGGAGACGCATGTAGGTGGAGCTTGATGTGGGGCCATGAAACGCTGTCCTGGGTCGGGGGGACGCTTGCGAACACCGCCACGGGGACCTTAGGTGGAGCTCGATGTGGGGCCGCGAAGCGCAATGCTGGGCGGGGGAGACGCACGCGAACACCGCCACTGGGACCTTAGGTGGAGCTCGATGTGGGGCCACGAAACGCTGCCCTGGGTGGGGGAGACGCATGCGAACACCGACACTGGGGCCGTAGGTAGAGCACTCTGTGGGGCCACGAAACGCTGTCCTTGGTGGGGGGGACGCATGTGAACACCGTCATTCAGGCCTTAGGTGGAGCTCCCTGTGAGGCCACGAAACGCTGTCCTGGGTGGGGGAGACGCATGCGAACACCACCACAAGGGTCGTAGGTGGAGCTCCCTGTGGGGCCACGAAACGCTGTCCAGGGTGGGGGGGACGCATGTGAATACCGCCACTGGAAACCTTAGGTGGAGCTCCCTGTGGGGCCACGAAACGCTGTCCTGGGCGGGGGGGACGCATGTGAACACCGCCACTGGGGCCTTAAGTGGGGTTCCATGGGAGGCCAGCGAAACCCTGTGCTGGGTGGGGGAGACGCATGCGAACAGCGCCACTAGGGCTTGAGATGGGGCTCCCTATGGGGCCGCGAATCCCTGTGCTTGGTGGGGGAGACGCATGCGAACATCTCCATTGAGGCCTTCGATGGGTCTCCCTGTCGGGCCACGAAACGTGTAAGGGATGTGGCGAATTTGGTAGCAATGATGGCGACGATAACGGTGGTGATCATGACGTCGATGATGATGATGATGATGATGATGATGATGATGATGATGATGATGATGATGATGATGATGATGACGATGACGATGACATTATGATGGTGGTGATGATGCTGATGATGATGATGATGATGATGATGATGATGGTGATGATGATGATGCTGATGATGATGACGACGACGACGAGGACATGCGCAGGGCAGAGGCAGGGATGGCAGGAGGGAGGAGGGGGAGGAGGAAGGAAGGAAGGAAGGAAGGAAGGAAGGAACGCAGGGACAGTCTCTTCAAAACGAGGACCCAACACCACAGGATGGTTGGGAAAGAATCCAAAATGGTCAAAATATATTCGAAAAATCGTCCCCATAATTTGTTTTTGACTGCTTTCGAATTTTCCTCCTGTAGACGGCGTTTGATCCCGAGTCATGGTTGGACGGCCCCAGGGCCCAGCGGAGCCCCCAGAGGCCGAAAGCTACCAAAAACCGATTGTCACGATTTCCCCCGTGGTCCGAGGGGGTCCGGGGATCGAGGATCGAGGATCGAGCATCGAAGGATCGAGGATCGAGGATCGAAGGCTC